CGGCTGTCAGGGAGCTGCTGGGGCCCATCTGCTGAGGCCTGGCCACAGCCCCCCTCCTCAGCACAGCTTCCCTGTGACTGTTCTAGTGCCCCCCAACTTCTGTCTTGAGCCACTGAAGGCATGTGCCTGCATTTCCTGAATGCTAAGGGAATGTCTATCCGCTTGGAAACTGACTTACTCTCTGAAGATTAGACTAACCTGCAAAGATTGAATCAATTTAGGCTTGGGCTTTTTGAATGTCTGCCCCTAGCCTTAGGGTAAAGAAAGGATCTAAAGCAAAGAAACCCTAGTTTCAGCTTTGAAAAATTGGCCTAACCCATCTCAAACTGATTCTGTCAAATAATTTCCAAATCAATCTGTTGAGAAATGGAACACAATGAACTAGGAGGCAGCAGTTTCTCTGAATTTCAGAAGCTCTGAATTCCAGCAATGACTTTCTTATTACTAAGAATTCCTTACCCCTGGAAAAATAGTTGTTTAATGAGAACCAGATTTGGGTCATAAACCTTAAGCCCATCCAGCTTTCTTGTTAGTTAATGTTTACCCTACTGTGATTCTTTTTCTTCAGGAAAAGGGCATTGCTATAAAGGGAATGCATGCAAGCAAATAAAACAATGGAAATTAAAAAAAAATACTATGAACTACATGTGACTTGCAGCTGCAGGGTTTCCCACAATGTAGAGCACTGCACCAACAGTGACTTATGTGCTTTAACAAATATCAGCTGTTTGTTTGGGGTGTAATGAACAAACCAGAGCCAGAGTGACAACTGCTTCAACTAATTATGAAGACAGCTTGCAAACTATAGCCCCACTTGTTTCAGGCTCCAAATGATGACAGTCAGACTGCTGTTCCCGCCAGCTTGATTTCAGAGCACTTTTATTTTCATATTTCAAAGGTCAGTGTGTGTGTGTGTGTGTGTGTGTGTGTGTGTGTGTGTGTTTTTGGGGAGGGGCAGGGTGTCAGAAAACTCTTCTGGAGCCCTTTGGAGTACCCTGGATACAAAGAAATGACACTAAATCAGCAGAAAGTTGCAGAAGCCAGTTTCTGACTTTTCCCTTCTTAGCCTTGTACACCAAACAGCACTATATGTTGGTGAGTGTACAGAAAGAGATACGGAGACTCCTTGAGAACCACAAGAATCCTGCTAAAGACAAACTTTGAGAGCCTGAAGTCATTTTCTTTTCTTTCTTTAAATCTTCTCTACACCAGGAAGATGTGCCTTTTGAAGCGGCATAAGTAAAACTGGCAGGTTTTCTGAGACAGTGCTCATTTGTTATCAACTGATAAATATATACCACTTCCTAGACCCTATCATAGATCTGCAGACCTCATTACAATTAAGAAAAATACTGAAACCTGTTTTCACATATTTAGAAATGAAAATTCATTGTTTTTATGCCCACTCATGCTTTGGCTTCTCTAGTAGAATGCTGCTAGTTGTTCCAATTTATGCCAGTTATCATGTTTGTCCACTAAAAACTGACTTCAAAGCAATCTTAGAATTACTTTATTACTCCAATCTTTTCTCTTTTACAAGTCACACTTTATTCCTAACACATGTAAACTACTTTCCTCATTGTTTTACTGCTAAAACCCAAGTATTCAGCCTGACTACCTACCTTCCTGACAGACTACCTGATGGACTGCTGGAAAGCCCAGGCACCTAGAGCATGTAGTAGCTCACCTGGTGGGGATCATCTATACCATGGCACCAGTCTGTCCCAGTCAGGACAAGCCTGTGTACACTCTACCCATACCCCATGCACTGAAAGGCATACTTTAAACCCAGAAGTACACAGAAGACACTGCTTGAGAGTGATGATGGACCTAGTGCATTCTCACTGGTGAACTTCTGGGTATAGAGCATGCCTGCTAGCACAGCTGCTCAGAGCATGCCCAGGCTTATCTTGAGCCAGGCCACAATACAGACAAGCCCTTAGCAGCCTAATATGTCACCTAAGTGTAGGCCATGGGTTCAACGCCGATAAATGCAAGGTTCTCCACCTTGGGAAGAAAAACCTGCAGCATCCTTATAGGCTCGGCACTGCTATGTTGGCTAGCACTATGCAAGAAAGAGACTTGGGGGTCATCATTGACCACAAGATGAACATGAGCCTGCAGTGCGATGCTGCAGCTAGTAAAGCGATCAAAATGCTGGCTTGCATCCATAGATGCTTCTCAAGCAAATCCCAGGACGTCATTCTCCCCTTGTACTCGGCCTTAGTGAGGCCGCAGCTGGAGTACTGCGTCCAGTTTTGGGCTCCACAATTCAAAAAGGATGTGGAGAAGCTTGAGAGAGTCCAGAGAAGAGCCACACGCATGATCAGAGGTCAGGAAAGCAGACCCTACGATGACAGGCTGAGAGCCCTGGGGCTCTTTAGCCTGGAAAAGCGCAGGCTCAGGGGTGATCTGATGGCCACCTATAAGTTTATCAGGGGTGACCACCAGTATCTGGGGGAACGTTTTTTCACCAGAGCGCCCCAAAGGATGACGACTAGGTCGAATGGTCATAAACTACTACAAGACTGTTTCAGGCTGGACATAAGGAAGAATTTCTTTACTGTCCAAGCCCCCAAGGTCTGGAACAGCCTGCCACCGGAGGTGGTTCAAGCGCCTACATTGAACACCTTCAAGAACAAACTGGATGCTTATCTTGCTGGGATCCTATGACCCCAGCTGACTTCCTGCCCTTTGGGCAGGGGACTGGACTCGATGATCTTCCGAGGTCCCTTCCAGCCCTAATGTCTATGAAATCTATGAAATGTAAGTGTGAGATGGGTACAAGTAAAAACGGTTTCCACAAGACAGACTCCTGTCATATTCCCTTAAAATGCCTTATAACAGTATTCTAGAATATAAGCGCTACCAAATGCAGCAAGGAATCTATACAATCCCAGCTGGTTACAGGACATTCTGAAGCATCTATATAGAAATGGATTTCCTGGAGGAAAAAGGTGGCTTGGATTCATTTTATGCTTTAAACCTCCTCTCCCACCCAGCCACACATACAGATTTGTACACGTGTACACAGATCTGTGCTTATTTTGAAATGAAAAAATATTATCAGTTTTTCCTTTCAGGCAGACATGCCACATTGTTGCAATTCCGGTTCAGGTTAAAATGATTTGCCAGCATGAAGAGATATCTAAGCACTTAGCTTTATAAGAAAAATGTGATTAGGAGCAGTCAGCATGGATTCACCAGGGTCAAGTCATGTCTGACCAACCTGATTGCCTTCTATGACAAGGTGACTGGCTTGGCTCTGGGGATGTGGAATGACCAGTGGATGTGGTGCACTTTGATTTTAGCAAGGCTTTTGATGCAGTCTCCCACAGCATTCTTGCAGGCAAGCTAGGAAAGTATGGGCTAAATGGACTGTAAGGTGGAAAACAGGCTGGAGCATTGGGTTCAAAGAATAACATTAATGACTCAGTGTCTAGTTGGCAGCCAGTATCAAGCGGTGGGCCACATGGGTCGGTCTTGGGGCAGTTTTGTTCCAAGTCTTCATCAATGACCTGGAAGATGGTATAGAGTGCACCCTCAGCAAGTCTGCAGATGACACCAAGCTGGGAATGGCAGGAAGTAGTAGATACACTGGAGGGTAGGGCTAGGATTCAGAGTGACCTAGACAAATTGGAGGACTGGACCAAAAGAAGTCTCATGAGGTTCAATAAGGACAAAGTCCTGCACTTAAGACAGAACAATCCCATTTATCAGTACAGGATGCGGGCTGACTGTCTGGGCAGCAACTCTGCAGAAAAGGACCTGGGGGTTACAGTGAACAATAAGATGAGTATGAGCCAACAGTGTGCCCTTGTTGCCAAGAAGGTTAATGACATCTTGGGCTGCATTGGTAGGTGTTTGTCAGTAGGAAGTGATTATTCCCCTTGATTCAGCACTGGTGAAGCCACATCTGGAGTATTGTGTTGAGTTTTGGGCCCCCCACTACAGAAAGGAGGTGGACAAATTGGAGAGGGTCCAGCAGAGGCAGCAGAGAACAACAAAGGTGGTGAGGGGGCTGGGGCACATGACTTCTGAAGAGAAGCTGAGAGAACTGGGCTTATTTAGTTTAGAAAAAAAGAAGACTGAGGGGGGGGGGATTTAATAGCAGTCTTCAACCACCTGAACCGGGGTTCAAAAGAGGATGGAGCTAGACTATTCTCAGTGGTGGCAGATGGCAGAACAAGGAGAAATGGTCTCAAGTTGCAGCAAGGGAAGTTTAGGTTAGATATTAGGAAGAATTTTCTCACTAGGAGGGTAGTACAACACTGGAACAGGTTCCCCAGAGAGAGGTGATGGAAGCTCCATCCTTGGAGGTTTGCAAAACCTGGCTAGACAAATCTTTGGCTGGGATGATCTAGTTGGGGCTGGTCCTGCTTTGAGCAGAGGGTTGGACTAGATGATCTCCTGAGGTCCCTTCCAACCGTAACTTTCTATGGTTCTATGATATCCAAAAGTGCTCTTTTGGGGACAGATTAGGGATTTCGTATTTGCACTGGAGATTAGATGTGTACAAATATAAGCCATATAGAAGTGTACTTGAGTTGTAGTCTGCTATGTAATTAATTATTCCTTACAATTAATAGCTGTGCCTTCAAACTGAAGTATAGAATCTTTAGAAATACCATGAGAAATATGGGTTTAAAAATGGGCATGGGATAGCATCAATTTTATCCCTGAATTTCCTTCCTTTTGACATATTATGCAAGTATCATCATGAATGTCAATATAAAAAAAATATTCTTTTGTTAACTTATTATGAATATTCTCTCATTAACAAAACAAAACAGCATTTTGGTAAATACATATTCCATACTATTAACACACTAATTCTATATAATTATATGCAAATAATATAAATATAAATATTTATATTAATAAAATGCTATTGAAAATATAATTACACATCAATCCTTCAATTAATTGCCAACACAGTATATTTATTAAGCTTAATCAAATAAGCTGTAAAGCAAAACAACCTTCAAACCTACACTGTAAGATGCTGTTTCCACTTCGGACTGTTTGTATTGTTGCATTTTTCTGTCTTCTTTGACTGTCCATTTACTGAGACTTCCACATAAGGACTTGGTCCAAACCATTTATTTTTATTTTCTTTTAATTTTGCTGAAATAACTGTTTAAACAATAAACAATAGTGAATATTCTATTCAATAAGTTTCTGTTAAAAATGGTGTTCTCTTTGAAAGCTAGTTGTAGCCTTGTAGACACAAATTTGTCAAGAATGCATACAAAGTTATTTTCCACAATATATAACAAAATAGCTACCAAGTGGTAATATAAACAGTCATATGTAATGTAACTCTGCACACAAATAACTTTTACCTCTGCTAGGATGACAGAACCTAGTCTTCTGTGCATCTTGACTTGAGTACCTTGAGTTAATTTTTTTTTTTTTTTTTGAGATTTCAATTCACAAAAAAATACAATAAAATAAAAATAAATCAACTATTCTAAGAGCAGAGAAATCTAACAATCATTAGTTGTGGCATCAGATTCTCTCACTTCCATGCAACTAGGCCAGTGGTGCTCACTGTTTTGGTCCTGTGGGCTGAATGAGTGGCATGGGGCTGGTCAGTTGGCTGAATCAGGCTATGTACCACACACCAGGTTTGGGCATTGGGGCTCCCGCTGTTCCCATGTGCCATGATTGAGCTCCCTCTATGCTGGATTCATCAGGGAAGAACCACAGTTCGTGGGGAGCCCAGCAGGATTACAAGATGCCAGGAGCCAGATCTGGCCCAGGGGTTGAGCACCCCTGAACTACACAGTTACAGAACAGTGGAAATTTCTCCAACATGCTTAGATGATAATTCAAAAGGGGGGCAAGGAGAAGCATGAGTGCACATGCACATGATTTGAAATAAAACTAATTAATTCAATCAGTTTCCTTCTGGTTACAGGTCTGACCAATAATGGCTACAATACATAAATCTAGGGCCTCTGCATGCAACCCTAACATTTTGAATATCTTACACCTTCTCCCATTTTAAACATAACTTCACAGAAAAGAAGTGCATTACTTAGGTTTTAATGTTCAGCTATGACAGATTTAATTGAATCCACTTGTGATTTCTGGATATCAAAAGTATTAAAATTTAAAAAACCCAACACATTAAAAATGGACTTAATACACTTGAGAATAGCTCTACACCAAAAGAAAAAGAGCCAAACAGGCATTTTCCCTTCAATGCACTCTAGAGCTGAAGCCTGGTAGCTGGAATGTATATGTTCTTCTGTTCATTCCCATTCAGTCCTGCCCAAGTTTTGAATAAATTTAAGACAGAGGTTGGCATCATGTGCCCTGTGGGCCAGTTCACAGACCTGCAGGGCTTTGCCTGCACTTGTGCCTAAACTGGGGCTGAACAGTGGCAGTGCAGGCACAGATTTCAACTGTGTGGTTCTGGCAGGGACACAGGAAAGCTCCCCTGATGTTGATGTGCTGCCAAAGCCACCTGGCCCACTCTGGACTGGAGCCACGTTGTTCCGCTCATGGCTTGAAAAAGGATACCGGCCCCAAGCTAGGACATCCAAGCATATATTCGAGGTACAGACACAGTCCAAGTGTCCTAATTCCCAGCAACAAGCTTCAGCTAAAAGATGATTCTCTGTAGTATGTTTGTTATTTGCCCTGAAATGCTAATTTGTCTATCATGTTCACTACAGCTACTAACCACTTTTAAATTATATCCAGTTCAAAAAGTATATTCACTTGAAGAATGAAGTTGATTCCTTTGAGGACTGCTGTACAAACAAAAAAGCAACAGAATTACACCTGCAAAGCTACTGCCAATCCTTGTGTTATGAGGTATTCCACTAGCAGAGAAGTTAGTATCACATTGCAATATTTATTCCTACTGAGCTAAAGCACTAAATAATGTTTAAGGCATATACAATACCAAAAGACCTGATTTGAGACTATAAGAATGCAATTCAGACACTTGGCTGACGGCACATAACTTATGCAAGTCTAAACAAGTGTCAGGTCACAGGTGTCCTGATACTCGTGTTCAAGAAAGCAAAAGTTGACTATGGATATGAAAACATGCACAAAGCACTCAAAGAAGTTGTCATGTATTCGAAACAGGATTTCATAAAATGCCATGTTTTACTTGTAATACACAGGGGGTTATTTTTTACTGTAACACAACTCAACGCTGGAGCTCTCCTTTGCAATAATCACCATGAAAAAGATGCATAACTGAACTTAAAGCAGCTAAATCCAATACTTAGGAACCACTAGTATTCAGAAATCCCATTCAGTTGCAACCTAAACCTACAGAATCTTGAAGATTTTGTGCATCTAAATTTCTGTCAGTGGGCATGTTATGGAGGGGTGTCTTGAGGCTAAAATGTTGAGAACCGCTGGTCTAAAATCCTTGGTCTTGGGTTACAAACACCTGAAAGTGGGCATCTCTATGTAAAATGCTACAGCCACTCTGAGCAAAAAGAAACTAGCTGGTTAAAACCAAAATCTAGCTCTAACTTGTGATCTGGGGTTATACACTTTAACCAAGAAAAATGATAGTTTGCCTTACAATTTTGGTTTGAAGCTCCAACTTTTTTGTCAAGACTACTGAAGTGGATGCTCTTAGTAATAACATTCCGGTACTGGTGAGTTTACTTTGATAGTTGCTATTGCTTTGGTATCTAAAACCTGGTATTGCGGTCTCCTGCTTGGATGTAAATTGAGTATCCAAAGATCTGGCATGGAACCTAACTGCCTTTCTTTCCCCACCCCACCTCAGAATCGAGTAAGTTCTGGTAACAAAAAGATCATCTTCAAAAGGGAATCCTGAACTCTCCCTGCATCAGCAATATGGCACGATTGGGATCAGTTCTCTGATCCCACAAATCGTGCTCCTGCCTTGCTTGTATGGCATGCCAGGAGGTGTAATTGCAGATCTGATCCCATCGCACCCTCAAATTAAAATGTCAGGGGCCACATGTGGACAACTTTTACATTTTTTCCAGGGATAGAGAGAAAACATTTTCTTTTAAAATACTTACTAGTGATCTGAAGCTGTGATTTCATGGCAAAACCACTAGAAGATCCTGACCTGGAACCACTGCTGGCCATAATCCAGATAGGCTAGACCTTGGAACCTGAAAAAGGATGCAATGAAAATATTTTAAGCCTCATAACAGCAGTAGCTAGAGCATCAGAACAAATACAGAGAGCTCCAAATTCTGCATCAAAACGCAGTTATCATGTCTTGGTCTGCAAAGTTATGTTTACACGCCATGCTCGACTCATGAGTACACTGTCATCTTACAATAACACTGTCATTTTATGAGGCACTTGCAAAGATTACTAGTAAAAATCTAAATCTGCTTTTTGTCATGCGTATACATGACAGTGAACAAAGGAAACACCACACTTATTTAATTTCCAGTGGTTTTCTTGTTTTCCCTAGGTGTAAAAGATATATTTCATTTATCAGGTAGTCAGTACACAGTTTACACCAGGAGTGGGCAATTATTTTGGTTAGGGGGTCACTTTATGAGTTTTGGTGAGCTGTCGAGGGCCACGCCCCTGGTCACCATCTTGGGACCAGAAGTCCAGTGCCCTAATCCCTGACATTTGCTAATAAAAAGTCCCTCCCCTTTGGGGGAGGGGGGGTTGTCATCTTGGAACTGGAGAAAAACCAAAATGTATACTAAAAGTCAAATATCTACTATAACATATTTTAATTTTATTTAAAAAAAATATTTTTGTCCTAATCTGTGTGTGTTTGTGTAGTATACATATAGAGAGAGGATTGCATAATAGTTCAAAATAAAGTATTACTCTTGTATAGTGTCTGTGGGATGTGGTTGGGGGAGTGCACTGGGGGGAGAGGGAGGGAGTGTGAGGGTATGGTGTGGTGTGCACAAGGCATCCCCAGTGAACTGCCACTGGCAGCAGCAGCAGGCAGCATGCTCTCGGTGTGCTCATGAGCCACTCGCGTGAAGCCCCTCGGCACAGCTCCAGCTAGTTCTGGCCCAGCTTCATCGCATGGGGCTCCCAGTGGCTCATGTGCAGCTCCTGGGAACCACATACTGCTGCGGGGGGGAGGGGCAGGAAGGGACAAAAGCAGTCCTGTGCGATGGAACTGGAGGCCTGGCCCCATTTCCTGCCACCACGTGCAGTTCCTGGGACTCTAATGGGAAGCAGGGCCTGAGTAGCTTGGTTCCATCACACAGGGCTCCCTGCCACTTTCGGCTCTGTCTCAGTAACTGCATGGGATGGCCAAGAGTGGAGAAGGCTGCTGACTTCATCACATGGGGCTTCTTCTTGGTGATGCATGAGCCTCAGGAGCTGCATGCAAGCTGTGGAGAGCCTTGCGTAATGGAATTCAACTGACCTGGGCTCCATACTCCCACTATACCCCTCTGGGTGTGGGCCCCATGCTCTGGGTCCTATGCTCCCATTGGCAACACGTAGGGGGTGCACACAGGTGAATGTGCACCCCTCGTTTGCAGGGGGTGCTGCCAAAGGTGCTGCCAGCACTGCCAATGGTGCCTGTGGGCGGTCACAGCTTGCCACCCCCCTCCCTTGCCACGGACACCGCTTGCAGTGTTTATGGGTGGTCCGTGATTGCTGCTGGCCACTATCGATGCTGCCAGCGGTGTCTGTGGGTGGTCACCAACCACCGGTCAGTGCTCGCCAGCTCCACCTAGCCCCCCGCCGCCAACAGTGCTGCAGCCGCCTGCAGGAACTTGACACTGCCACGCTCCCACCGTTGACAGTGCTGCAGCCACCTATGGGAGCTCATTGTGCCCCCCCAGCTGCTGGGGGACATACAGCATTCAGATGTGTTCCCACTGGCCCTGGCCCTTCCCTCCATGTTGCCAACCAGCTGCAGCTTCCCCTGCCTGCCCCGCTTTCCCTCACTACTGCCTGGAGTGCTGCAGCCGGCCTGGAGTGCTGCAGCAGGGACACAAGAAAGAGCTGTTGGAGGTTGGGGGAGCTGAGCAGTTCCCTGGGCAGCTGCAGCAGTGGCAACAGTAGCTCTATTTGGAAGCTGGGGCAAGAGCCCTCCCATGTACAGGGGTGGGAGTGCAGTACACTATTATTGGGAGTAGGGAAGGCTCGGCCCCATGAGGAGGGCAGCAGGATCAGCCATGGACTGAACCAGGTAGAAATAATTGGTGGGAAGCTGCCCACAGGCTGGATGAAATCACCTGGTAGGCCGGATCCAGCCCACCCCCGATTTACACCATTACATTTTGACTACTTACAGACATTCAGTTTCTCCTGGGGGAGTCCCTGCTTTCCCAGGAGAAATCACAAGTGTACAGATATTCAGGCATTTTCTCCCAGAGTAAAAATGGTCACTCCAAGAGAAAAATAACCTGGGAACAACCAGGGTTAAATCACTTCCAGGACAGTTTCTCCTGGGAGAGTGAATTCTGTATATATTGACAATGCAGGCTGGGTGGTCTGGGTTAGCCGAACTACCAAAATGGGCAGTCTGGATTAGCCAAATCAGGGCTGCCCTTGTTGCCAGGCAGATGAAGTGAGTCTGCAGAGCATACCAAGACGTGTGCAACTGAGTGTGCAAATAGTGCAGACGACACAAAGTTACAGACATTTTGGAGGGCAGAACTAGGACCCAGAATGATTTGGACTGGCTGGAGGAACAGGCAACAAAAATAATCAGATTAAATTTGACAAAGAGAAATGGAAAAGACCGATAAGTCTACAGAACTTCAGAAAAGGACCTGGAAGTTATAATGCACCACAAACTGAATATGAACCAACAGTGTGCTCTTGTTGCAAAAAAAGGCCTAACACATTGAGCTTTATTAACAAGAGGGTCACTTAACAAGGGAAGTGATTCTTCCACTATTTCGCAGTGGTGATGTCTCACTTTGAGTACTGCATCTAATTTTAGTTCCCTTACCTCAAAGATAAGAATAAATTAGAATCCAGTGAAGAGTAGCAAAAATGATTTGCTTGTCCCATTTCATCCACTCCATGATCAGGTTTAAAGAGCCCAGTCTACCCTGTCGGCAGCCAGTCTAGGAGCGGAGTCTCAAGAGATAGACAAATAGATGATCTCTCCTATGCTTTGACACCTCCTATACTCTGACACTTACCCTCCTGCTAGCTGACACCAACCCAGACACAGTGGGGCTCACAGAAACGTGGTGGGACCCAACGCATGACTGGGCGGTAAATATCAAGGGTTATAGGCTGTACAGGAGGGATAGGATAGAGAGGAAAGGTAGGGGTGTGGTGCTCTACGTCAAGGAGGCATACACATCCTCAACGAGTAGCACTGGGTCAGAGGAGGGGCACACTGAAGTGCTCTGGGTTAGAATACAAGGGAGTTGAGGGGAAAAGGGACTTAACGGTGGGGATCTGCTACAGACCACCCAACCAAGGGGAAGAGCTAGACTGGGAATTCTTAAGTCAGCTCACGGAGGTAGTTAGGTCAAAAGAAATGGTCATCATGGGTGACCTGAACTTTCCAGACATTTGCTGGGAAGAGCAGTCAGCCAGGTCTGACCGCTTGTATAGGTTCCTAGCCAAGATACAGGACCTCCATCTAACCCAGGAGGTGCATAGCCCCACCAGGGGAGATGCCTTGTTGGACCTGGTCCTGGCCATGGGTGATGACCTGGTGAAGGGCCTGCGGGTGCTCGACCACCTGGGCAACAGCAATCATCGCCTGCTGGAATTCACCATCCAGTGCAAGGCGGCAAAATCCTGCAGCAAGGCAGCAGCCCTGAACTTCAGGAAGGCGGACTTCAATGAGGTAAGGAGAACAGTCGGGGAGGCACTGAGGTCCCAGAGGGGAGGGGAGTCGGGTGTCCAAGAAGAGTGGTCATTCCTTAAGGAGACGATCCTCCAAGCCCGAAGGGAGGTAATCTCGACACGGATCAAAGGGGGCAAGGGGGCGCAAAAGCCCCCATGGCTCACCAAAAGCATACAGGAATGTCTCCTGGCTAAAAGGGTTGCGTATACCCAATGGAAGGGAGGGCCCATCACCAGGGAGGACTATACCGCAGCTGTTCAGGGCTGCAGGGGGGCAGTCAAGAAGGTCAAGGCAGAGATGGAACTGGGACTAGCTACCTGGATCAAGGACAACAAGAAGTCCTTTTTTAAATACATAGGGGGTAAAAAGAAGGTACCGGGTAACGTGGGGCCTCTGCAAAACATGCTAGGAAATCTGGTTGTCACACCAGACGACAAAGCTAACCTATTAAACAATTACTTTGCCTCCATTTTCCTGAGCAGGGACTGGGTCACCCCCCCCCGCCCACCGGGACCCCTGTAGGCCCCAGGGGAGGTGCACCCAGACCTAGGGTCAGTGAGGATCCAGTCAGGGAACTTCTGGAGGGACTGGATGTATTTAAGTCAGCTGGTCCTGATGATCTCCACCCCAGAGTGCTGAGGGAATTAGCAGAGGTCATTGCGGGACCCCTGGCACGGCTTTATGAGCACTCGTGAATCTCTGGTGTGGTGCCAGAGGACTGGAAAAGGGCCAATGTGGTTCCCATTTTCAAAAAAGGGAGGAAGGAGGACCCAGGAAACTATAGGCCAGTTAGTCTTACCTCGATCCTGGGTAAGCTTTTTGAGAGAATTATCATAGCACATGTCCATGAGGGGCCAGCAGGGGAGATTATGCTTAGGGGCAACCAACATGGGTTTGTTAGAGGCAGGTCCTGTCAGACCAACCTGGTGGCCTTCTATGACCAGGTTACAAAATCCTTAGATGCAGGGGTAGCAGTGGACGTAGTCTTTCTGGACTTTAGGAAGGCCTTTGACACTGTCTCTCACCCCATTCTCATTAAGAAAACTAGGGGACTGTGGCGTTGACATGTACAGTCAAATGGGTCACTAACTGGCTGGAGGACCGCACCCAGAGAGCGGTGGTAGACGGGTCTTATTTGACCTGGAGGGATGCAGGGGTTCCGCAGGGCTCAGTCCTCGGGCGTGCACTGTTCAACATCTTCATCAGCGACTTGGACAAGGGGGTAAAAAGCACCCTGTTCAAATTCGCAGACAACATTAAGATGTCGGGGGAAGTGGGCGCGCTAGAAGGGAGGAATAGGCTGCAATTGGACCTAGACAGGTTACAGGGGTGGGCAGATGAGAACAGGATGGGTTTCAA